AATCCACACAGTTGATCAATTAAACCTCTTACGAGGGTTTTAGCGCATATATCGAAGAATAACTAAAATACTGAGATTTCTGTAAAATAAATACCATCCTCTTTTGTAGTTGCTATGGTATTTTCATCCTGAACGTCACATGTGCATAAACAGTCTGAATAGTCTGTGTTTGCTTTGGGACACAGGTTTGGGATCCTTCTTCCTGCACCTGATTATTGTGGTGAGTATATCATGTAAAGTATTCACTCATGCTCAGCTGCTTGCCTGTGATATAATGGCTGATTGAGCATTCATACATTCCTCCCACCTTGGCATCACTTTATCGCCTTGCAAAATATTTTGTGATGTTCTTTTGTTTTATCTCCTATCCTAACATTGAACATCACAATAACAATGGGTGAAATGTGTTCCCTACTTGGGATGGATGGATGCAGTCTCCATCAAGTGCTGCATCACAAGGCTACACTGCCTCATGTATTTTCTCAGTGATTTTGATTGAGATATGTCTCATGCAGAATAAATGTCTAAAGTTAGTCTAATCACAACAATTTGCAGCAAAATGCCAATTAAACGCTGTTATTCTTCACCCTGATAAAACTTTACTGGAGCGAATCAATAAAACTCGAGCAGCGGTTCTTGCGCAGCCTCCTGACTTCTATATTTGACAGGAAACGTGGCGCTTAACTAATACAGTTTTCATGTTCAACTTAACAATTTGGAAAATAAAAACATGTGTTGTGTTGTTATATGTGAAATTCACGAATGCGCACAAAATGAGAAAGTAACAAATCAAGCACCGTATACAAAGCTGTAGTTTAAAGCATTAAAAGAATTGACTTCATTAGTTGAAGTTTGGACTTACAGTTGCACAGAGAAGGCGATTAATATCCTTACTTTAAAGTAAAATTTAGTCTTTAGTTGTACAGATAAAAATAACACGGCAAATGGTATGTTACAAAACACGTACGGGAAACAGATTTTAATCTAAATTTACAGAAGTGGTATTGTTTGTTAAGATAAGAGTATTGTAAAAAAAGTAAAGATTTCAGTTTAAATTTCTGGGTTTAACTTGTTGTACCATTATTGTGTCTCCGCAGAGAGACATAACTTTTTTTTGTATTGTTTCTTCTTCATCTTCCAAACAATTTTCATCCGACCGCCATTTCTTCATTTCTAGGCAGATTGACTTGAATCTTGGTAGGAGTATACCATGGTCCAATACGCCCAGATGCCATTTTAATTTTTTTCTATTTAGACCTTTTTAAAGAATTTTATGGGGTCAGAGGTAAATAAAACCTATAAAAAAAACCCCAAATGTATATTTTAGGTTCATGTGCGGTTATATTTGCAGTAATCGATTTAGTAATTATACGGGGGAGGGGGTCAAGAGGCCACAAAAACATAATTTTACGGTTTTTTAACAACTACTCCACCGTATTTCGGCCAATTTACATGTGATTTGTTATAAAGATACGTTTTTATAGGTCACATACATAAACATACAGAAATGTGGGATACACTCATTTTTGGTAATTTTAGGCTGGGGTCATAAGGCTAAATAAACCCCCAATTTTAGGGGTTTCGGTCAATGACTTAGCCTTGTTTCGACAAATCTAAGTGGAATTTGATACAAAGATACTTCTCTACAGGAAACACACATTGACAAACAAGTACTCTGCTGTATTTTGGCCAATTTACATTGGATTTGGTGCAAAGATACTTTTTACAGTACCCCAACAGAGATGTAGACAATTTTGGAATTTTTGTTTTTGCTCAACTTTTAACCAAGAAAGCACAATTTGGGGTTTCGGTGAACTATTAATGTGTATATCAACCAAAGTACATGGGATTTGGTACAAAGATACCTTCTTGCAGGTCCCAAGCAAGGATATAGATAGTTTTCGATTTGGCCATATTGGGATTGCGTGGCAGAGATATGTTGAATTCGCCCGTGAATGTTGGGCTCTTTAATTATACTGTATCATTCAAAGCATTTTAGATTTAATCTAGATATTATATATATTAAGGGTTTCAAAAATCGTTTGCATAACGCATGTATTTGTCTTAAAAACAAACAAACAATAATTAATTTTGGAATTAAAATATAGAAAATGTTCTATGTTTTAGTTGTTAATCGATTACCTAATTCGTAAACCACTTTCACAAACAAATAACTGAATCTTACAATAGTTTTCTGCACTTCAACTTATTATTATAATATTACTTATTATTATGTGTTTTGTCTAATGACTGCTGTGTGGACGACTCTGTCTAGTGAAAGAGCTGAATGTGAAATTAAATTAACGCTTTCTCTACTGAATAAAATCGAATAATAGTTTTCTAGCAACTAACGAGCATTATTCATCTAATATTTTGTTTGAACTGAGTTTAATTTTTAACATTTATGTATGTAGAATATTTGTTCACGAATATCAAATAAAACTAACATTCAATAAGGAACCAGACAGTTGTGAAGGAAAACTAATTCCGTTGTATTCTTATGGAAATGGCTGCGTGTTTTCGCTAAACCAGTCTTAAAGAAACGAATACACAGTGACGTATAAATACCATTCATGTGTTGAGTCAAATGTCATTGTGCATTTTATAATTCCCTTTCTACTGTTTTCAACTACTGAAATATTAATAAAATGTCAACAAATCATCCAAAAGTTTCCAACCTAAGCAATGCTAATATAAAACAAAAACTGTAGTAGTTTGGTTTGTTTATTTTGAACTTTGCGCAAAACTACACGAGGGCTATCTGTGCTAGCCGTCCCTAATTTAGCAGTGAAAGACTAGAGGGAAGGCAGCTAGTCATCAACACCCACCGTCAACTTTTGGACTACTCTCTTACCAACGAATAGTGGGATTGACCGTCACATCATAATGCCCCCACGGCTGAAAGGGCGAGCATGTTTGGTGGGACAGGGAAACTGTAGTGTATTAGGCTGTGTTTGCAGAAATATCATAGTGTATTAGGCTGTGTTTGCTAAAATATCATAGTGTATTAGGCCGTGTTTGCAGAAATATCATAGTGTATTAGGCTGTCTTTGCAGAAATATCATAGTGTATTAGGCTGTGTTTGCAGAAATATCATAGTGTATTAGGCTGTGTTTGCAGAAATATCATAGTGTATTAGGCTGTGTTTGCAGAAATATCATAGTGTATTAAGCTGTCTTTGCAGAAATATCATAGTGTATTAGGCTGAGTTTGCAGAAATATCATAGTGTATTAGGCTGTCTTTGCATAAATATCATAGTGTATTAGGCTGTGTTTGTAGAAATATCATTGTGTATTAGGCTGTGTTTGCAGGAATATCAGATTTCATTAATTTACATTTCAATATTATTATTCTTTTCACCTCATTCCTTTCGTCCTTTTCATTGCCAGTTCATTTAAGTTTATTTTCATCAAGAACACTAAAAACAGAAAGTTAGAACCAGAAAGGATTCATCTTCCCTAAAACAAAATCTTACGATTCTATCAACAGATATTATTTTTCCTTAATCATGAACATATTTTATTATTGCAGTATTTTTGTTTCTTCTTGCGTCGTCAATAATTCTATCTGTATGTGTTTTTTATTTACTTTTACATATAATGTGATGTAGCTGAGGTTCACTGAAGTAAGGTAAATTGTTGAATATAGTTTCCTTTGACTTGATCTAAACATATCAGCGCAAGACGTCCACCATCTTGAAATATGTTTCTGAGCTCCAAACAAAATAAATATCATAATACTGATATCACATTTCAA